AAAATCCATTCTGTCAGTTCTGTTTTGACAGAATTCCAAAAAAATTCTAGCCATTGCAATCATAATGAATGGAAAAAAAGAGATTGTTAATACTAGAATTATGTTAAGTGCCAGCAAATCCGTTCCAACTCACAGCGATCCTTTATTGGGTTTTCCAAGGATTGGCTGGTGAGTTTTAACCACCGACCTTGTGGTCAGCAGTCCAGTGCCACACCAGGACTCCAATACTAGAATGTTGTTGTTAAGTGCTGTTGAGTCACTCCTGATTCATAGCAACCCTGTATAGGGTTTCCCAGAAACAGCTGGTGAGTTTGAACCACGGACTTTTCAGTTCAAATTGACCTTGCAGTACAGTGCATTATTGTGGAGTGCCACACCCGAACTCCAATCCTAGAATTTGTTGTTAAAGTGCCGTTGAGTTGGTTTCCACTCATAGTGACTATGTAAATGGTTGATTTGCTGTTTTCCAATGTCTCCTGCTTCTCTTTCTCAGAGAATTTTCTTTGAAAGTAAAAACTGTGTAAGAAACATGAGACTCAGGACTATTCTGTGTTTAAATGATGGAAAAATGCAAATTATTTCTAAGTAATAAAGATATTCAAATTATCTTTGTAAATCAAGTCCAAAGTTTGAAAAAAGTACATTGTATTCTTTGTATACTTAAGAGTCTAATAATTCAATCGTCTTATTGTTCTGAAGTTGTTATAAATATTGGATTAGAGGGCTTCATTCCCCACACTAAAATCCAACATCTATTTTTGCTACCTTTGAGTCATTTCTTGAGTATTGGTGAGAAATAAGTCAGGTGCATATTTTGTGTGATCTGAGTCTGAGGACTTGAACAGAGCTTTTATGCTGGAAGAACTGTGCAAAAGCTGAAACAACCTTCAATCCAATAGGGCTTCTATTCTAGGGAAGAGTTTGAGTTTGTTATCAATACACTTTAATCTCATCTTTGTACGGAGTCCACAATTATGCTAATGAGAACTCACTTGGACTTGACTATGAAAATCTTTCTGCAACAGGTTTCAGAAAGTTGAAGCCAAGAACTGTGCGTGGAGAAAGGGGACACCAATCTTGACTATTTGCTTTACTGGAATGTGAAAACTCTTTTTGAGTGGCGAAGTCAGGTAAGAAAGAATGGCTGGGAAGGGGAGAGGGAGAGAAGGAGGAATTTTTTTTTTTTTTTTTTTAACGGGCATTTTATGGATCAGTACAGAGATATGATTAGTTTATACATAATTCTTAATGTATGTACTAAAAATCTAAAAAGCTATGTAGTTAAATTCTTGTCTAAATTCTGGTGTCTTTCCAGCTTTAAATTAGGAGGCAAATTTTCCTTAAGAGGATATCAGATAACCAATATCTTCAATTGCTGAAAAGTTTGACACCACAATTTCCACTAATTCACAAATTACTGTCACACACACTACAAACTTAAATCGTTAACCTTTCATAGCATATAACAAAGTTAATAGGAAAACTGGGCTACCATCACTAAAGATGTTAGAGAAGGCTCTTAGTTCTAACAGGTGAACTTGATGAGGGAGTGGTTTTCTTTAACAATTCTACAGAAAAACAACATGGGAATAGAAATGATTTAAAATATTCAAGCCACGTAAATGAATGGCTGCAATTCCAAATTACCATTAAGTATGCTCTGTATTATAAGATATAAAAATGTCCCCACACCCATGGAATGCTGTGTTGACACCCAAGACAATTAAAGCCTCCCACAATTCAAACAAAGAATACACAATCAGCAAAGGATTTCATCTCTTTTAGAAAAAGCATCTATATTTTTAAAATGGGATGAAGTGGCATCTCTTCTTTCTTAGAAATGTTTCTAGATCTACTAAGAAACTTGCAATTATAAAATAGTTGTTATTAATTTTTCTCAGGATATTAAAAGAAGGAAGGGAATACAGGGCCCACTGATAAGATATGATATCAACCCAAATCCAAACCCAAACCGATTGCTGTCACGTTGATTCCTATTCATAGCGACCCTATATGAGGTTTCTGAGACTGCAAACCCTACAGTCTTCATCTTTTTTTTTTTTTTTTTTAACGGGCATTTTATGGAT